ACTCTACCCTTTTGCGCCAAGGTCATTATCTTAGATTTTAGTTACAGAGCATCTGAAATCACAAGAAAAGAAGCTTAGCTAGTAGGACTCTCTTCCCGGTTAAGGCCAACTACCTGCGCTACTGGCCACCTACATAGATTTCCACACCACAGCTCTTCCCACCTTGGCATTAACCTGCTCTGTAAGGAACAAGAACAAGACTAAATTTAACCCTGAAAGATTTGAAAGCAGAACTGGAAAAGCAAGCGACAGGCTTCTAAACACCCCTTAGGTTGCCTCGACTAACAGTATCATGCCTGGTAAAGGGAAAGCCCAGTTAAGTAAGTCGCCGAGAGGGGAAAAAGGAATAAACCTAAATTATTGAGTAAAATGAAAAGTGAAACGATCCAATGGAACTGGAGAGCCGGGTGGCCTGGGAGAGAGTGCTAAACTGGACTCTATGACTAAACATCAAGGATCTATGGGCAAAAGCATTCAGTCACTATTTCTCCCCCAGCATCCTTCTGTACCCGTCACCGCCACTTCATCTGGTGACGACCTGTAATTCCCTTGGTCAGGATATTTCACTTTTGTTCTTCTTCTGCTGGAATATGACACTTAGGTGATTTTTACAATCATCTGAGCCGCTGATATAGGACAGGAGCACATGGACCAAGCAGTAATCCTGGACCTGAAGGAATGTACAGCCAGGTCATTCGATGCTTATGGCGTAGCACAGAACGTACTTCAAAGATGCTGAAGCCCAACCAGCAAACCTCAAATTCCTGGCATGCTTCGCAGCCAGTCAACCCCTATCATGGTTTGGTAAGGAGATTACACTCTGACCAACACTGATGGTGAGAAGAGGTTGTTCTCTTTCTTACAGAAACCTTTTCGATGCATTTATTGTGGCTTTAGGCTGCAGACATCCATGCCCTAGTTCCCCTGATGTCCAGCCACCATAAAACCTTGTATGATTCTAGAGCCAGACCAATTCTCATCTTGTTTTAAGTTACCCCAGGGCTCCAAACAACTGCTGCTACTGAAAATGTAGTCCTGACCCTGGCAACATAACACAGTCAACAAAAGGACAATAGGCACCATTCATCAAAACATTCCACAGGGCACTGGGAGCAGCACAAAAGAGCACGAAACCGGGGAGGCCACACACAAAACTCCACCGAGGTGAATGCTTTTTCTCAGTCTAAATAAGACAAACACATACATACATAGTGCCATGCCCCTCTGCCACTAGACCCACCTTCCGGAAATGTCGATCAGATCACACCTTACTTCTACTTGAAAGCTTCCTGTGGCCTCCCATGCTTTTAAGTACAGCACTCAGGTTCCAGCACAATCATGTTCTAACTTAGTTTTCTGGCCTTCAGCTTAGCCTCTGCACACCTCTGGCCTCCTGCTGTGAGTCAAACCGCCTCATACCTAACTACTCAACTGTGCTGCAGAGCACAATAAAAATCGGCTGTCCTCCCGATGTCATTAACTCCATGACAACTGAATCAAGAGTTTTATTTATTTTTTATTTTTTATCCTCACCGAAGGACTTTTTTTTCCATTTTTTGTTCAGATAGAGTGGGAGGGAGAGAGAGGAAGAGAGAGAGAGAGAAACATCGACGTGAAAGGGACACATCGAGTGGCTGCCACCCGCACGACCAACCAGGGCCGGGGACAAACTGCAACCGAAGTACGTGCCCTTAGCGGGAACCGAACCCGGGTCTCTCCGGACCGTAGGCCGACACTCTAACCGCTGAGCCAAACTGGCCAGGGCTGAAGAAGTGTTTTAAATAGCAAACGCCCTGAGTGCTCCGTAAGTGAGATTTGATTTGCCAACAAAAAGTTTACAGACAAAAACTGTAAGGATACATCTAGTTCTGCTTGTGATACTTCCCATTAACACGGTTCACAAGGTAATAGGATATGGTGTGTTTAATAATTCAGCATTTTTCTCCACTCACTCATTTCATGGGAACAAGTGTATATGCCAGTATAGAAAGAGCAAGTGGAGGAGGAAGAATGAAAGAGGTGGGAGAAGCATTTTATCATTTGTCAAGGTATTAGGACTGGTGGCTCATTTTTATTTCATCATTATTTTTAACAGACTGAAAAGTAATGCAGTGCCGTTGGATTCGAGCTGCTTCATCCACACGTCCCCCCTGCACTGCTCATCTTTAAGCAAGGACATGAGGCGACCACCGCACACGCTGATCTCTGCTCAGAGGCTGCTCGAAGGATGCAGGTGTGGCCATGGAGCACAGCAAGCTGACCTTGGCCTTTTATCATTAGTATTCGGTAGATGGCCAACCAAAATGCATGCTCTGGGAGACAGAGGAGGCCAGTGTGTCATACTACAAGTGTATACAACAGTTAAGTCCTGACAAGCAGGAGAGAATGCTAATGTGTCTAGTGCAAAATTTTATACAGTTTCATTGACAGAAGAATTAAAATTACCAGGAGACTAATTTGACTAATTTGTAGCTAGTACCAATTCCATAAAATAAAATTTAAACACTTGAACATATTTTTCATCATTAACTCATTACAATATATTATGAAACACATGCACATAATTTTAACACTCATTATTTTTTAATATGGTTTTTTAAATTGATTTGAGAGAGAGGGGAAGGGAGAGGGGGAGAGAAGAATCACTGATGAGAGAGAAATATTGATCGGCTGCCTCCTGCCTGCCCCCTACCGGGCATGAAGCCTGCAACTCCAGCATGTGCCCTGACTGGGAATCGAACTGGCCACCTCCCCATGCGTGGGATGACTCCCAACCAACTAAGCCACACTGGCCAGGGCAACACTCTTTATTTTTAAGCATTTGGCCAAATGTACTAGAAAAGATGATCAAAACAATAGTATGCCCCAGTCATTTCAAAAGGTAAAACCTCAAAACATAAAAATTAGCCCTGGCCGGCTTGGCTCAGCGGTTAGAGCATTGGCCTGTGGTCCGGAGAGACCCGGGTTCAGGTCCCGCTAAGGGCACGTACTTCGGTTGCAGTTTGTCCCCGGCCCTGGTTGGTCGTGCGGGTGGCAGCCACTCGATGTGTCCCTTTCACGTCGATGTTTCTCTCTCTCTCTCTTCCTCTCTCTCCCTCCCACTCTACCTGAACAAAAAATGGAAAAATGTCCTCGGGTGAGGATGATAACCCCCCCCCCCCAAAAAAAATTAGAGACTAGAAAGAATAATTTTCATAAAAAGTGTTGCTTGCTAAAAATAAAATTATAACCCTGGCCGATTTGGCTCAGTGGTTAGAGCGTTGGCCTGCGGACCAGAAAGTTCTGGGTTTGGTTCCCACTAGGGGCACGTATCAAAATAAATAAATAAATAAATAAATACATAAATAAATAAATAAAAATAAAATTATAGTTGCACATATTTACTAGACATCTTTATCAGCTTTGAATTCAACTAAATAATAGTAACAATTTTTAGAGCCCTTCCTATGATCTGAGCACTATTCTAAGAAGTATACACATATTACACCTTGTTTAATTTCCAAAACAACTCTGTGCGGTAGAAAGAATTATCATCCTCAATTTTTAGACAGAAGCAGTGATTAAGTAATCTGCTCAAGGTCATATAACTAGTAAATGGGGGAGTTATTTAATTAACTTGAAACCTCATACAGATTTTTGAAGGATGATTATATTTATATAAATACACCAAGGGACATGCCTTTAAAACTATACAGATATATTCACATTACCCATGTTTTAAAAGCTTCAATTTTGTGCTCTGTTTCTTGCTCCAAATCTTCTCACAAGTCTTCTTGTTAGTAGCGAACCTCACTTAAACTGAATCTTACATGAGAAAAATCTTTGGTTAATAACAATGGAAAAGATAGTGATTATTTGTTTTATTAAATTATTTGTCACATAACATGTAACTCGCTTGATGGGCCTGTAAACAAGAAGCTACCAATGTTTTGTGATATACATACATTAAGGATGTAGCTTTCCTTACGGCGGAGCTGGTTTACCTGAATCAACTACATCGAGAAAATCACATGAAAAGCTGGATAAGGCATAAGGAAGATTTCAGGGTCCTTTGACTTGAATCAACTGTGAAAGGGTTTGATTTCTCAGAACATGAAGACTGAAGGAGAACTTTTCTTTAAACATTCACCAAGAGAGAAAAAGACCAAAAGACTATGACATAAAATAAAAATGATTACTTAAGATCTTATTTATGTGTATCTGGTCAATTCTAATAGTTTTGAGTTAAATATTTTTTTATTTCTTTAAACTAGTATATATGAGTTATTGAAAATAAATTTAGCTTTTCCATCAGTATGTTCAAGTTTAAAGTATCTGACATTGCCCATAGGAATTGTGCCTCAGGCAATAATTCCTGATGGTCCGGTATATATAACCAAGGTATGGTATGTCCTTCTAGTTATTGTTAAATATAATGAGAAACGATACTCAGATGCTCATATTTGCTAGCTAGTCTTCCTTTTAGCTGTCTTAGTCATGATGTCTTTGGCCAGCATACACAAGTGACATCGCCACAACACATGCCAGTCAACCAGAAAGAAACTAGAGTAGTTTTACATGTGGCTAAGAAAAATCACTCTCATTACTATAGAGTCCCACACATCCCATACAATACTTGACCACAATATTTAACTCATCAACTTACAGGTATCACAGAAAATACAAAATAGAAACAACTTACCAGTGATGACTCGCATGTAGATGAAAATTTTGTAAAAATCAATCTTCAGCCTAAGTTAGTTTGTGTAGTCCCTGGGACTCCATAGGGTTACATATAATGGAGGTCTCTAATAAATGTTCAGTTGTCAAAAAGCAAAATTACACAGACACCTGTTTGGCATTCAGTTCTTTCTACTTCCTGCACACTTAAGGAAATCACCTACTTTCATCTGGAATACACACTTACATCAAAGGAAGATTTGACTGAAATGAACAAACTAATTATGTCAGTGTTCTTAAAGAGAAAGAAAGGATGATATATTTATAAACAAACTGCTTACCTTACAAACAGAAAGAATGTTAACATTTATCAGTTTCTTGATGGTCTGCAAAAAAAAAAAAAAAAAAAAGATTATTTTCTATACTAATTTGATCATGAAAATGACTACTATATATATATAAATGATCTTGAGATGCATTGAAAGTTTCCCCAGATATAATAGAGACCCTGGGAAATGTCAGGAGTTGGGGTGGAGAGACAGTTTATTTTACTCTCAATGTTATAGTACTTTTCTACCAAAAACAGCAATTCTTGTTAACATACAAAATCCAAGGTATATGTACTAGTAAATCTGAAAGCAAAAAGTTACACTTAATCTAAAATAAATATGAGCACTTTGCTAATACTGAAAGGAGACATGATTGAAGCTACGGTTTTCAATGATTTTTAAAAATTTTACACATTCCTTCAGTGATACATTTTTCTAGTCTTTATTAAAGAATTGGGCATGTATCAAGGATACAGCTTTTATTTTGGTAGAGCTAGGTTACCTGAATCAACTAGTATATTGCTATATATTAACAACTTCATGACTTTTAAATTGGTGTTTAGAATCCTGATATTTAAAAACAGAGCTGTTTTGATATAAAATAAGAATAAAACTAGAGCTATTAATGAACCTGGTACTGTACAAATGAGGTTATAAATACTTTCTCATCCAATCCTTCTAACATTCCTACGAAGTCTATCTTGTGGGCGAGGGAACGGACACTAGGTATGGTTGAGATTGCCCTCAGAGCAGCTCAGGTAACAAGTACAAGAGCCATGTATCGAATCTCAGGCATCTGGACTCTACTGCCCACAGCTGGACCATTATACCACGTTGCCCACCCCCCATACCTATTTATGCATTCCTTTTGTTACCTTAATATACAAAGAAACACTTACACTATCCAAGTCAGGAATGTCCAAAAAGTATTCAGGATACATATATGACACACCCACGTTGTTCACTAAAATAAGACAAGATCATTAGCCTGTTAACATATATATTTTATAGACTTTTTAAAATACTGGGATAAAAGATTTCCCTACTAAAATGGTACAATGACATAAAATACGATTTATGGCTGGCGTGACCTTTCCCACACCTTTCTATCCAAAATCTGTTTGGTGTACAGTTCAAATGTCTCCTCTGTCATTAAGCTATTTTGTGCCTACCACCCAACTCCTGACAAAGGAAGTTATGCTCGCCTTCCGATTTCTACAGCCCCTTGGAGTATGTCTATTCTGCTTCTGTAATAGTTACTTGTAGATACTGCTTAACTGCTCTCTAGATGTTAAATTATCATAGTACAGTAGACTGGGAACTTGACTTCTACTTGCAACTACTTCAGAAAATGTGTGACTGGGGATAAGTCATGAACAACATGCATCTGTTCCTTCATCTCTAAAGTGAGAGCTCATTTAATCATCCAACAAAACCAGAAAAGTCAGCTCTGGTGTCATGGAGCATACAATCGAATAGGAAGAGAAAGGCACTAAACACAAATAGTTAAAACAATTATTTCATTACAAAATACAGAGTGCCATGGAGCCTATGCCTGGAGAGTCTGAGCTCGTCTGGGAAGTGAGAGAAGGCTTCTCTGTGGAGGTCAAGAGAACGCGTCGGACTTAATGTCTCCAGCAAACCATCTCTGCCTGCTTGCCCATAATGCCTTGAAAGTCCAAGTCTGTCTTAGTCCTCCTGTATGCCTACTTCTGAATCACCTAACCCAAGACTGGGGCTACAAGACAACTGAGAAGCTATGAATAACCATGTGTAATTAGGTACATGCCTAATACTCAGATGTCCTGTGGTTTCCTTAGCCCTGGAAAGACAAAGACAAATCCAGAATAAGGAATATTTGCAGGAATCACACAAATAAAATATCTTAGAATTTATTTTAACCAGATAAATAGGGAAATGGACTATCTATCTACCTATTTATCTGTATTGAATCATCCCAACAACTACATCATCTCCCTTGTACATATTAGGAAACTGAAGTTCACAGCAGTTAAATAAGGAACTCAAACGCAGGAAATTTGACTTCAGAGACGAGGCCCTTAACCACGACATTAAAGCAATCATGTGCCTTCACCCAGTATTCAGTTCAGAAAAAACACCAGTAATAACTGGATACTAAACAGAAATCTGATAGCGATGTTTAATAAAACTGTGAAGTATTAAAAAGAAAGGTTTCAGTTGCAAAAAGATAATAAAATCATGATCAGTCTGCTGAAGCGCATGAGGAATTGTGCCAGATAAACCTGAGAGTAGTAATAGTAACTTTTTCAATAGACTAACAAAATTAACTAGCTCGAAGGAACTCAAGGGTTCTATCTTTAGCAGGAGGCCAGTCACTTCAGGCTGTGAGTCTCAAGATTTTACTTGCACAGTTCGGTCAGCATGGTCTGAACAAGATCACTGAAACCTGCCTGAAAACCTGGAAGCAAAGAATAATGGCAAAGCAAACTGTATTTACTTAGGATTCATGCCCATCTGAATAGGGACAGTATCTAAACATAATTAATGACAGCAGGTCCAAATCCTTTTTTTAAAACTCAATACCAGGGGTTCTGGGAATCAAGTTTATAAAATGTTGGCTAAAATCTAGCCAAAATTAGTTGAAGGTAAGCCTTGATATTCACTGGACTTTGTAACCATCTTCAGAATTAGAAAGGATGAATAACTTATTTAGTGTTACTGAGATAAACAGCAATGCCCAAACTATCAGATAATATGCTCCACATAAAATATTCTTCTTCTTCTTTTTTTTTTTAATCCTCACCCGAGGACATTTTTTCCATTTTTTGTTCAGATAGAGGGGGAGAGAGAGAGAGGAAGAGAGAGAGAAACATCGATGTGAAAGGGACACATAGAGTGGTTGCCACCCACACAACCCCAACCAGAGTCAAGGACAAACTGCAAACGAGGTACGTGCCCTTAGCGAGAACTGAATCTGGGTCTCTCTGGACCGCAGGCCAACACTCTAACTGCTGAGCCAAACAGGCCAGGGCCACATAAAATATTCTTTACAAAGTCAGTTTAAGACAGCAGGATCCTGCCCTGGCCAGTTTGGCTCAGTGGTTGAGCGTCAGCCTGCGGACCAGAGAGTCCCAGGTTTGGTTCCCGTGAGAAGCACGTACCACCAAAAAATAAAAAATAAAAATAAATAACAGGATCCTTAAAGAAAGGACTTTCCAAAGTATAATACTTATCAGGATTTTTTTAAAATCTTCCATCTCATACAGCAAACTCCATCTCCCTTCACTTTCCCATATGGAGAAAATTTTCTATATTCAGAGTCCCTTCTTGTTCATGAAAAAAATTAATGCTCTATTTCAAAATTGAATAGTGCAATTATAAATCTTTTAAGACCCAGATTTGTTTTTTGTTTTTTTGTTTTTTAAGTCTGGGAAGTTTGCAAGCAGCATAGTTGACTTTGTAATCTTTGCAACATGTACTACAAGTATAAATACAAAGTCCGGCTAAGGAAACCCACGAGTAACTGAATAACTAAGTAAGCAGAAAGTGTTATTCTGGTTAAGGCTACGTTAATAATAGAAAGTCTTCAGCTCTGACTCTGCTAATTGAGCAAAGGAAAGCTATCAAAGTTATCTACTCACACAATGAAAACACGAACATCTATTTAACACAGCTCTAAACAAAAACCCAGTCAACATGGAAAATGTCTGCCCAAATCAATAAATTGTATCATGTATAAGGGATACACTTTCATAACCAAATATACACACAGAAAAAAAGATGTTAAAGCAGAAACAGTCTTTCAGAACATGGAGCCCACTTGACGAGGGGAAGTACATGCCAATGTCACACTGGCAAAATGTCCTGCAGTGGTGGCTCTCAGCTGGTGCGCCGCAAGAACTTTCAAAACATGCAATACCCGACTATTTAGTCTCGGGCACTGACCTCTTTTCCCCTAGATTGTCAAATTAAAAAATGACAACAGACAACACAATAGCTGTCCAGTGTGAATTAATCAAAATTACACCTTTTTGTCAAATTGACAAAAAAAAATATTTTTGGTGTGCCGCAGAATTTTAGTAATTGGCTTTTGTGTGCCATGAGATGAAAAAGGTTAAAAATCGCTGTCCTATAGTAGGGACTGGGGCTCTTAAATCCCTTCCTGCTTTATTAGTTACACTTTTTGCTGGTGGAATATACACTACCCATAATCTCTCTCCACAGTAATCACTCAGAGTGCTATCATTGAAGAGTATAAAGGAAAAACAACTGTTGCTCTCAAATAGTCATTTCCATAAACTGCACAAACAGTTGGAATCTTTTAGAAAAGGCAAACTGACTGCAATTTTATTTTGCAACATTAGGTGGCAGCAACAACCAAATGACAGGAGGAAAGCATTCAGGGACCTGGAAAAGGAAGAAAACCGGCTTAGAGTAGGAGGAGTCAAGGATGAAAATATTTCCATGATAATTTAATCTCATTAAGAACGGTCTCATAGCCCTGGCCAGTTTCGCTCAGTGGTTAGAGCGTCGGCCCGCAGTCCAAAGAGTCGCAGGTTCAATTCCGGTCAAGGGCACGTACCTTGGTTGTGGTTCAGTCCCCAACCCTGGTCAAGTTGTGCGAGAGGCAACCAGTTGATGTGACTCTCTCATGTCCATGTTTCTCTCTCTCTCCACCTCTTACTCTATCTGAAGATTAAAAAAAAAAAGAATGGACTAATGGCCCAGCAAGGTTTTGCTCAGTGGTTAGAGCATCAGCCCAACGACTGAAGGGTCTCAGGTTCAATTTCAGTCAGGGGCATGTACCTGGGTTGCAGGTTCAATTCCCAGCACTACTGGGGAGGCAACCAATCCATGTGTCTCACATCGATGTCTTTCTCTCCCTCTTCTGCCCCCCCCTCTCTAAAAATCAACGGAAAAATATTCTTGGGTGAGGATTAACAAAAAAGAATGGGTGCATGCAATGCCATCTATATATATTACAGGATTCATTATAGGATTCACCAAACCAAACAATGCCACAAGTTATCACTACATTATTCAGATAGCTGAAATCCCCTTCTAAATAGAAGCACTGGACACTGGCATTAAATAGCTGTTCATTAGTGGGGTGTTTTTAATCCTAAAAGTGAGGCACCAGAGACAGATTTAAAACTTTTCATTCAATGACCTGCAAAACCCTTCTACTAGTATAACACACTATGTCTTTCAGAAAACAAAGGATGTTTGTGTAATCTCAGAATTCCAACCACTAAGCTAATAATCAGCTCAGGACCGTGAACAGATATAAAATCGATCCCATCCGTGTCTCACTGGAGTTCTAAGATTGAGAAGCGCTCCACAGAAGAGACGAGACAGAACAGAGAACAAGGACACGGTGAGTGGGAGGAGGAGCAGGCCCAGGAGCAGCCCTGACAGTGCTGATTCTCACAGGGAAGCATCAGCACTCGGGGCTCAGTAGTGCTCCATGATCCCCTCCAGAACGCCCCCAAACACTAACAGATAAGTATTACATTTTAAAGACTCAGAAAATCCACAGAGTAATTCTGAATGTTATATAAATACTCTAAATTATATCTAAATTAAAAATTACTTCCACATCTCATACTTAAAAAGAAAAAACAAACACAAGATTTCTGCTTCTTCTAAATTCATTTGCTGCTGCTTCTGACCTACTGGATTTTTAGAATCCTTTATCAAAACCAGCTGCTACAGAGATAATGACGTCTTTAGCAAATAAGACTTTTGGTAAATGGGTTGGGTATGAGGGAGGAGCAAACAACAATATAAACTAGAAAATAAAAATCCATTTGAATGAACAGTCATAACAGAGATGCGCATCCGCACGCACATCACTTTTGAGCTGCCGCTGTTCCCAGATTAATCAGAGAAGGGAGAAATCTGGTGATTTAAAGCACACTGCCTAATGGTTGGGCTCCCCACTATATATCAACTAATGCCAAGTACTCTCCATTTCCTTCT